TGTTGATAGCAGCGATATAGGACAGTAATTTTTTTAGTTTGCGGTTCTTTGTTGTGTTTAACAACAATTAACAATGGTCAGTGGCGTATTTTCAAATTTTTTGTGGAGGAGGGAGGGGGTTAACATTTTTCTATAAAATAAGTAATTTATTTATAATATTATATAAAATAAATAAAAGATATGAATTAGGTAATAATTGTAATGTTCTATTATTATTATAAATACAAATTAAGAGTCAATTATAATAAAAAGTGTAAGTCTTTTTTTTTTTTGCAGTTCATCAATAATTTATGACTTTTAATCTATATTTTTGCTTCTGGAAGGGTCGAGACTCGGAAAAAATACATCACTGACCATTGTAAACGAAAAAAACGATTCTAAGTTCAGTTGATTGAGTTGTTTTATCAACATTATATATGTCATTTTATGGTAATATAATGTGCATTATATATTTTCTTTAATCATATTTATTTAATATTATTGTACCTATTTTCCCGTTTTTCCTATTTATTTGGAAAATTCCTATGAGAACCACAAAATAATCTCCTTAAAGTATCTCCCCAGTCAAATTTCCTTTCAGAAAAAATGCTAGCATTGGAAATCGGTGGAAAATTGTTGGTAGAAAAGTTATCCACTGAAAAATTAATAAAAACAATGATAAACATCATTGTGGAACCAATTTTTTCGCTCAGAATCTAAAATTATAAATCGTATATCATAAAATAACATTTATCACAATGTATATTAGGTACTAAATGTCTGTAAGGATAGGTTTATAATCAATAAAAAGTAATTTAAGACCATTGCCTTTCATAGTTTATGGAAATAATTTTTAGATTTTCATAAAATTTCGGGGGAGGGGAGGGGTGTAGACCATTCAATCTCCCTCCATAAATACGCCCCTGTCACGTTGTATTACAAGTATTGTACTATATTATTTAATAATTCTCGTTTACTCGTTGATGTTTTTTATTATGGTCACAAAATATGAATAGTGTATCTGTGTTCAACCAAAACTAATAAAATCGATATTATATGTTGTAATAACGGACGTGCCGTGGTTTTTATGTCGTTATTTTTTTCTCCTTCGGTTATCGGTAAGTACCAATACATAAGGAAACTCGAGGGGTCAATCGAAAAAAAAACTATACTTTTTCGAAAGTACCATCTGTGTTCAATGTCCAATCTAAAATTAATTGAACTAGATTGAACGTTCGGAAATTCGATTTAGTGAAAAAAAAAAGAACACTCGACGCTTTACAATATAAATTTTAAATCAATAATAATTCTTTGCTACTGAAGTGTATAGAATGGTATTGCATCGTATAAATTGTATGCATATAGATAGAGTCTACTTTTAAATATGTATACTCAACAAAAATAATCCTCCTTTAAAAACAAAAGTTTATCGTAATAATGGCCATCTAAAAAAAACTATATTTACTTTATTATTTCGAGTGTATTTTGGTATAAAAAAATGCGTAGGTAAAGTTGTCAAGATAAATCCGTTTACTTTTAATTCTATTTGCTTTTTTTCTTTTTCTGGCGCCTTTTGTTCGTCATTATACGTTGTTGGCATTGTACGGGCTTACTGAGGGATACTGGTAAGGGCTAGGGAAATAAACATAATGGACTACGCAATGTCTAGGGCAATGCCAAAGTCAATATCGTGTAAAATATCCGTTCGCTATGATATGGAAGACAAATATCAAAAAATTGTGTAATTTACCTGCCTACCCGTATTGTAATCACCGATTACGTACAATAACAATAATAATAATTCGCGCGGTAAACGCTAAATGCCCGACGATAAATCACGAATATTCTTTTCTACCTGTCCGTTTGTTTAATTACCAATGGTGTTTTATTGATGTACTTGACTATGTATAGTGACGGCGGGGTGGTTGGACATTTGCCCAAGGCCTCGTGCCAATAGACATCGTGCAAGCAGAACGCTTTTTGGTTTTTGCCACAGGTTACATTCATAGACGCAGCAATATATATATATATAGTTATGGTAATGATTATCAAATGTTGAATCCACGATAACGTAATCGAGACCTCGTTTCAAATTATATTCCGACCACCGACAGTGAAACAAACGGCGAACATTAGATTTTAAAATTGAGGTTATTTCATTTTCTGGGTAATTGAATAGTTCGGCGTTTTTTGTTCGATTCTTGGGCGAAACACAGGAATTCCACTAGAAATGGTTGTCAAATGTCGTATTGGGGAACATTTAAGTTGTCACAATACCCAAAAAAAAAACACAGTATTTAGCATGTCCTAAAGAATAAAGCAGTACGTTCAATGGAGATACTGCTTATTTAATTATTGAACTGACTTCTCAAATGCATATAATATTATTGCATATTATTTACATAGTAATCTCGGCTAAAACGACTTTGCAATATGTGCACTTTTTATATTTCATCCATAAATGAACGCGGTACTTGTCAGACACGTAGTCATTTACTAAAGCATTTATCGAGATTTATCAGATACCTTGGTAATAACTATGACTATTGTGTGTCAATCGTTCTATTCATATTCTGTTATCAATTATTATTATCAGTAAATACAAAACGTTAACATCTTTATGGAGACAGTGCATTACGTAAAACAATTTCTTTGTAATACACATGCAATATCATATTAGAGAAAAATACAGCATGCATGTATGGAAAAAATAAAATAAAAAATAAACTAAAAAAGTATTAAGCTCAGTTCATATATAGTTTTATCTAAATTGTATTTGAGGAGGAAGCGAAACTATATGGTTTTCTCGAGGGAGAAGTGCCCCGCGCCTCTCTTTTTAGGTGCAACTGAGTGCGATTAATTCGTGCGCACAGTTCAATTTAAACTTCGAGTACACGCGTGGACACTCATTTATTCGTAGTTTTTTGATTTAGTTACGAAAATGTTTAGTTTAAATTGCCGTACACCGCTAAAAATATCCAAACGGAATGAATTTTAACCGTGTTCACAAATAGTTTCTGAGCGTCTGTGCACTCCACAAATCAACAATTCACGACGCCTGGAAAAAGGTGGAGTAACAAACTTATGTAACATGGTATCGCGATAACGCGAATAATGTTTCACGCGAATGTTACGTCGAAATGTTCAAGACGTATGTGCCAGCCTTTTTGTACGGACATTTCGTCGTTTTGCACGTTCGCGGATTTCAAAATGGCCGTCATTGATAAACGACCGTTTCGTTTCCGCGGTATATAATAATATTTCTTAATAGAACACGCCATGCTGTCTCAGTCCAAATAACGGGTTGCAATATAGCAAAATCGCTTATTATAAAATTAAAAAGAGGACGATAATCCGGAGGGCAAGACGATGCGTTTTTTCTTTAATTCCGAATACAACGTTCAATAGACTATTTAGAATATAAAGACTAATTTATCGTTTTTGAATTACTGCAACACTTCAAAAAATAAATTTAACGCATCGCCGTGCCCACCGGAATATTGTCGTCAAACAGTTTCATAATAGACGATTTCACTCTAAAATCATTATCAAGCGAGTTCCACGCAATCCGCGCAAGGGAGATTTTGCTGTATTGCTCATTAGCTGAACGGCGTACGTGAGCGCATAGTGTGTGCTTTATGAACCCGCGGCACCGGAATGAGAGTTCTGTATTGTAATAAATTATTTTCCTCGCGGTCTTTCCTACGCGCGGTAAGTCGCTCGTCGAGAAGTTTCGACGCGCGGTAAAACAATTTCCACGGGTTTAGCGAAAACCAATATGCCTACACGCCTGTCTGTATGTAGTTTAAGATTATTAACACGAAATATTTTACTAGCGGAACTCGCTTCGCGGTTTCTGTAGACCACCGGTATTTTTTATGGTGAGAGAGGAAGGAAGCGCCACAGCGTCCCGCAAAAGCAAATAATTAGGTATTAATTTCGGGAGATACAGCGTGGAACTTCCAATCCGAACACATAATATAATAATATTAACAACTGCCCAACAGCAAAATTATACAAAATTCTCCGGACCCGAATAAAACACAATAATAAAAATTAAAAAAATTCAAAAAGAAAAATCAAAAGACATTTTAAGATAATGGGGACGGATGAATCCGCTGTTATAGATAATTTAATGTATACCTGTAAGTAACCATTGCTTACGAAAAACCTATTCTGAGTGAAGTTCAGTTGATAGTTGCGCTTCATCAACAACATATATATATATATGTTCATATCATATTATAGTAAAATAATTAAATAAGTTTTATACATTTTCTTTAGTAATATTTGTTTAATATTGTACCGATTTTCCTAGTTTCTCTACGTTATTCCCGGTTTTTCACATTTAATGGGAAAACTCTTAAAAAAAGTCGAAAAACTATGTCTTTAAAGTACTTTCCTATTAAATTTTCTCTCAGAAAAATTGCTTTCATTAAAAGTTATAGCAAAATTGCTTGTAGAAAAATTGAGTGTAGGAAAACAGAAGGCCGTAATATATTTTAACTAATACCAATACATTTCTTATATTTTTTCCATTTTTTTTCGGTTTTCCAAATTTGACGAGAAAAATCCTGAGAAAACCGAGAATGGTGTTACACTTAAAAATTGGAGCAAGTCATCTAATAGAAAAGTTATTAACCGATTAAAAAAAAAAAATTAAAAAATAAACATCTTTGTAAAAACCGTAAGCTTCTTCGCTTCACTCAGAATCTGAAAACAGAAAAAGAACTAATGATTTCTTATAACTGCGGAAGCTTGCAGCTCGACAGTAATAAAAACACGGGTGGACACACGTTTTAGTAATGCACATTTGGAATTTCATTGTGCACAATAAAATAACCACTGGACTATAAACACTAGTAATATTATATGTTCAAATATTAACATTCTTATCCCGGTTCGTACATGCGCATTGTACTCGAAGAGATAATACGATATTTTCGGAGAAATCTTTCGTTATAACACCTAATGCCTGGTCAATTGTGGGTTGGAGAAACTTGACTTTCGTTATCCACTCCATGACATGTTTGGAAATAGTAGACAGGTCCTTATGGTAATATCCTTTGTGCATCTCGTTTAAGAATTTTACCTGTAGGTTAGCAGACCAAAAATATTGACGGGACAGCTGGACGAAATCGTGATAGTTACTCGGGATGAATGTTAGCGTATCAAACCACAGCGTGTCTTTACCGCTAATTCTATTCCAGGTGTTGTAGATTTTATTTAGATCGGGTAGATTTTGGTCCTGAGAGTAGTTATCGAGGTGCGATCCTCAACCTTGATATTCCCGTTAAACTCGGATACGACCTTTACGAGTTTGTCACGCTGGATATTCTGGTATTCTGGTTCATATTCGGGTTCGAGTTAAATGATGGGATACTCGTAAACTCATTGCTTGGTGGAAACGCTCTATTGTTACCGTATTCTGCGGTGGTCGAATCAGGATTTCTAGTCGAAGATAACGGTTCGGATTCAGAACGGTTACTTGGGTTTCCCGTTCTTACGGGACCTGCCGATGACGATGGTTTCACAAAAATGAATAGTGCTAACGGCTGGCTCGTGGAAAGAAACGCCGTCCATTGAATTGAAACTTATAATGCGGAGAGTCGAGATGTCGACCGGACACTCTAGGTCTACTAATTGTGACATTACACCAAGGTAACTTCGCAGCGTTACGTCATCAGACCCGGATATATTTAATGTGCATTCAAAATCATCATTGGGGGTGGGGGGAGGGGGTAGATGAAGACCGATTTGGTATACTCCAACGGGGTTATAGCGGTGTGAAAACGGGTGCTCCGTTCATCGACACTGTGCGTTGATTGATGTGTTCACGACGACAACTGATTCACTGGTGAAAAAATGGTTATATTTTTTCAAGTAATAACGATTACGTTCACGAATAACGTAAATAAAACTGATATTGGCGTTTAATGTACAGAGTATAAAGGTATGGGTTTTAATTAACGGAACAATCACAATAACTACGTCTCGTGGACAACACTGGCAAGGGGAAAGCTCGCGTGCGCGCGGTAACAATAACAGAAATGATCAACGATGCATAATAATATTCGAACATATTAATCGGAACGGAACAGTACACAACGACGGGGGTGGTTATAAAATTGACTGTGCGGGAACCCAAGCAAAATTATACCATTGAAGAAACAGGGGACGATATAATTAAATAGAGTCGTGCACGATGAGGTCACTCAAACATCACAATTTATCGCAACGCCGGAGAAACGCGCAAAATTATCATTATAATACCAATTATTGCTGAAAAATGATTTTAATTGGATTGAAAACAAAAATTACGACCAACACAATCGCTTTTAACAGTCGGAGGCCAGAGTCTAATTATTGTACACGAATATTTCCAGGTAAGGGAAAACACACGCCGATTTTAAATTTACTTGTATTTTACATCGCCTATTACACCGCCGCTTTAGCTAGACACAAACGATCCCATGCAACTATTTTACCAATTGGGAGGTATTTTTCTCCAATAAAAAATTTGTTTTATATGTAATATCGTATTTTTCCTATTAATTCCCCGTTATGCATGCGACGCAATAAACTATTAATAACTTTTCAGGTAGGGGAACGGTAGGTCCGCTGGCACGCCCGGTGTAGTTTTACACTGTGCATGTAAAAGGACCGAAATTTCCATCACCGTCTTTCCGGAGGAGCTCGGTGTTCTCGGCTTACTACAAGCCGTTGTATGTTCGGTCGCCTGTTCAGCTGCTTGTACACGTTAGCCAATATCCGTACATTCACATTACATAACACTAAGATAGATACGGCATTTTAACCATATTTCAAGGACAAATAGAACCGTTGACAAATGTATACAAATGTTTAACAAATGTACAATGTATAATATGGTTCAATGAAGTAGAAGTACTAAAACACAACTTGGTTCTCTCACAGTGTTTTTTTTTTACTATACTTTTTAATATAATTTTTTTTTTTTTTTGAATTGACTATTGTTTTTGCATTTTTTTTTTTTTTTATCTGAAAAATATATCTATATTTTTTTTTTTTTATAATGGGTGCAGGAGTATAATTCCGTGCGTAAAGTTTAGCACTTGATCCCGTGACGGTCGTCATTCGTAAGAGTCACGTCCAGCCACGAACAGTATATTTGTCGACGTGACGTTCAACAGCTGGTCCAGATTGACACCGGCTACCAAGTACCCAGAGTCGTCGCTCTGGAGATACGTGGATTTTATGTGTCTATGGTTTGAGGGAATACAGGAGTAAGCTAGTCATGTCGGGTAATAGAAAAAAAAAAAAAGAAGCAAAATCAATATGTAGGAACCGAAAAGTTCCATGAAGACATTAGAATAAACCTAATAAGGTAGTATCTGTAATATATTAATAGGGAACAGATTTAATAGTTATCGCATATGGCCACTGAGACACTGCGTTGGTAATATTTGTTATTTATAGTTTCATATAAATAGTAAATATGTTTTCATGCATTTCTGAAATTGATACTAATTTAATTTTATATATTCAGGGAAAATTTGATTTTTCCTAAGTGGAAAGAGTTAATTCAACATTAAAAAGACGCCCTAAGATAATGGGAACGGGTGCAGCAATTGTTATAGATTATTTAATGTACACCAGTAAGCAACTATTGATTAAGAAAAAAAACTATTCTGAGGAAAATTCAATTGATATTTATGCTTTGCAAACAATATTTATGCCATATTATTGCAAAAAAAAAAAAAATCAAATAGGCTATATTATATATTTTCTTTAATAATATTTGTTTAATGTCATACCGATTTTTCCGGTTTTCCCAGTTTTTTTACATTTGATGAGAAAACTCCTAAAAACTTTCTGAGAAAATCGAAAAATGATCTCTTTAAAGTACCTTTTCAGTTAAATTTCCTTTTAAGACGAATTGCTATCAATAAAAATTGGAGCGAAATCGCTGGTAGAAAAGTTTTACATACGAAAAAAGAAGGCCGTAATATATTTTAATTAATGCCTATATATTTCTTATATTTCCCCCTCATTTTTTTCAGTTTTCCAAATTTGATAAGAAAACTCCTGAGAAATCAAAAAATGGCTTTCTACAGTACCACTCACACCGATTTCTTTTCGGAAAAGTTGCTATACTTAGGAAATTGGAGCAAGATTCCTGGTAGAAAAGCTGCACACGGATAAAATAGAAAAACTTCATCACTCCACTCAAAATCTAAAATTATAAATAAGTAATTTGATTTATATCTGTGTATGTAATTGTGTAATATCATAACTATTTAAAATTATCATTATCAATTATTCGTTTTCAAGACGCGGATTTCGATAACTTGCTCCGATAATTATTTTTGTGAAAACGTTTAATATACGTATTATCATTCAATATATTATAATATGGTGTACGTATGTAATATATATAACCTATAACCAATAATATAATTTATAGTGTTATATCATGTGAAATAAATGTATTGCTTTTTTTTTACTTACCTTTTTTTCCATTCGCTTATTCTCCCACTTGCTTTTGTTTCCGTGTGCTTTTTATTTTATTTGCTTTATCTTCATTCGCTTTTTCTCCTAGCCCGGTTTTCATTAGAAACAACGCGAGTGATTTAGATCATACTATTTTCGGTAAATTTTATAATATACGGATCAGTAACAAGAGGCGGTCAAGCGGGTCAGCGGATGAGAGGGATATATCATCCATTAACTCGTTCTTTTCATAAATATTTGTAATAATTATTATTATATTACACATGTTTATATAAATATAACTGTGTAAAATAACACGTCCTGACTGATTCACCATCGCCTAGCCCGAAACCACTGGACGGATCGGGCTGAAATTTGCACACAGACATCTATTATGACGTAGGCATCAACCGTTAAATGATTGTTGAAAATCCAACCCTAAAGTGGTAGCGTGGAGATTTTATATGTTTTTGGTACGAATTTCTAATCGTTTATTTATTTATTATTTATACTGACGTGTTACCCGGTGACATGGATGGCGATTTGGCTGTCAGGAACAGTACAACTATTATTATCACTATTATCTAGTAATAGCAAAGCATTGTCTGGCCAACTAGTTAATTCAAAATCGTGATAGTGACGATAGAACAACTTATTGCATTATTGTTTTGCGTTCGTGTGATTTTTATTGGGTTCGAATTTCGAACCTCCGAACTGTTAAACAATTTGATTAACGAGATAAAATAATAATTATAAATTGCGTGTCTCAAATAACATAATTAATGAATAGTAGTGATAACAAAAATTGCAAAAAAAATAAAATAAATGCTCAAGTTTGATTGATTTTTTTTTCTACACGTCATATCATTAGATAGAAAAACAGAACCGAACTGTTTGGTATTTTTTTTAAATTTTGACGTTATCGACCCTCTTTACGTATAGCCACATTAATGGTGGCGGGGGTAGACACATCAACGGTGTAGCTACTCTGGCCGCAGAAGAAAGTCGATGGCGTTGTTATTGCACGCCGTTTCTGTAATTAAATCGATCAAAGTCGGTCAAGTCGATAAATCACCGGCGGTATTAATTACTATTTTTAGTGACAAACACTTTTTATCCAACAGTCTGAATTTCTTTTCAAGTTTTTTTAAACCGTTCACCGTACACCTTTAAGAATATTTTAGATTCTGAGTGGATCGAAGAATGTATTGGTTTAACAATGATGTTTATTTTATTTTTTATGTGAACACTTTTTTACCAGAAATCAAACTCCGATTATCAATTATAGCACCTTTTCTAAAAGGAAATGCTCTCTGGATGGTAATATAAAAAAGTCATTTTTTGAAATTCTCATTAATATTCCCCGTAATGAGGAAAACCTCGGTATTTAGGTTAAAAAATATTGAAAGAATTAATATAAGGTTGCCTTGTCGATGTCAAGTTTGATTGTCACGGACAAGAAAACAACACACTATTTACACTATTTTTTAACAGTTGCAAAGCATTGTCGGGTCAGCTAGTGTCTTATAATATATTACGCAAATAATAATAATTCTTAAAAATTATCCTTATTCCTTATTCCTTATTCCCCCCCCTTCATTACAAAATCATTTGACCACAACTAGCCAGCATATCTCGAGAATTTATCTGCACTCGGTACCGTCCACAGTAATAACGCAATGTACATTATTTTGGCAGATTCCACATTACGTTACTGCGGTATTATTATATAGTCACGGCGCGGCGCTACGACTAAATCTCCGCGGGGTACCCCATGATAAAACGGCGTTAGTTCGCGGTGCTCGAGCAGCATTGTTTTCGTATACGGTTCAAACCGCACGGTTATCTACAACGCGATATTACACACTATGGTTCTAAACCGCTACGGTTCGCGAACGGTTATCCGATAAATATTGATCAGAAATTCTGCACAAAACAAAACTATCCCCCTCCCTATTGCACTGAACCCTAATAAATCCATGATGTATACAACATGTTGCCTGATAACCATCGCGCTTGATAATTTGTGGTTGAGACATATTTTCCGGACACTTTGATAGCAAAGTTGTTCTTGGACATCAAAACAAAAAAATTCGGAGAGTTAGAATGCATACACCGATATTTAATATGCATTTGTAAACAATGATAAATCATTGTTAACGATTCCGAGCAGCGGTCGGTTAAACACGTTTTAAAGTTTCGTAGGTTTTACGATTTTCACAAAAATATAACTTACAGAAAACTTCCATGGTGCATTACATTAATATGAAACGATTGCGATACGTCCGACTTTGTTTTAACCATTAAATACAACTTATGATGAACCTCGAGTAAAATTATAAACATTTCTGCTCAACCAAAACAATTTTATCTACACACTCATAAAACCAAATAAAACTAAAAACTCGAAAATATCATAAATAGCTCAAAAATCGCAAACATTTTTCAAACTTCTAGAAAAGGCTGATAAAAGTATTCTGTAGAAATTGCGGGTCCTTGAAATACGATTACATGTATAATATATAATAATATATAAATAATATATAATATGTATAATTGTATGTTGTTACAAATTACAACAAAAAATAACACTATTGAAAAAATTTGAAGTCATTGCCCTAAACTTTCATATTTTTCTTAAATTTTTTCCCACTTAAAAAGAAAACTACGAAGATTGAACGATATGTTTTTTCAGAAACATAAACATATTTAAACTTTGGTTCAAGGTTTCTAGTATAAATAAAAAATTCAAAAAATAACGAAATCGTTAACTCAAAGAATTATCATTTCCAATACTCTTAGAATTGTATTCAAATTTTATCATCAATTTATCAATTTGTACAGAAAAAAAATCGAAAGTACCTCCCCTACAGTACACCGATTTTCTTTCAAAAAAAGAGGTATACGTAGAAATCCAAAAAAAAAAATAAACATCTTCGTTCCACTCAGAATCTAATACCATAATATTATACCTAATACATGTTTTTACGAGTCCTGCGTCAGTAAATTGTTTAGTATGCTTACCAATGTACTATAACGAATCTCATATAGTGTTCTCTTTTCTTTTTTTTGGGTGGGGAGGGGCACAATATGAGTGTAACTGTACTGTCATCAGTGACGTCGTCTCATAAATCTCATAAATATCGTAATCTCGTAGCCATCCTCCATAAGCTTAATCGATTAGTATTTTTTCACTATTATATTTAGTCATATTATACGAGCTATTATTATTATACCTATACCTATATTTAGGATTCTAAACACAAAGAGGGATAAATGGGTTCTATTGTGTTATGTATCTGTTTTTTTTTTTTTTTTTTGTGTATGTGAACTTTTCTACCGGAAAACTTGCTCCAATCGAAAAATAAACAGATATACTTTTTATTTCATTTTGAATCTATTAGGATCAAGGATTTCGTTTTTATTTTATTATTTTTTTTATTTAGTTTTGTGAATAATTGAGCAAAACCAGAAAAAAAAAACGCAGCCTACAGAACGGGAATGTTTACGAAAATAGTGGTTACATTATTTTCAATTTTGTTGTCAAGATTTGAAATTTTGACGGCATAAAACATATTTATTTACCACAAAGTAAGACCTCTTAATGTACCTCTTGTTAAAATTTCAAGCATTTCTTCTTTACCACAGAGTACCTATCAAATACAAATTACGTACAAAAAAGGCAAAATTAAAATTATTTGAAAAGTTTAGTAAGTCTAGAAAAGGCAAATATAAGCTTTCTGTCCAAATTTCAAGTCTATACGATTTTTTTAAATTACAACAAATAACAAAACTGAAATAATAATAAAAGCATTACTTTCATAAATTTTCCATTTTCTTATGTTTTATCCTGGTTTTTCTCAGATATTATGAAAACCGCTTAGAAAATCAATAAATAATCTTCCAAAAGTACTTTTTGGACAACATTCTGTTTTAGAAATAGTACCACGCGTATGTCTGAGCAAGATTTCTAGTAGAATATTTGTATAAAAGATAAAAAAAGAAAAAGAAAAAAATACAAACATATTAATAAAACTAATACATTGTTCGTTACGCTCAGAATCTAAAATGTAAAAGCTAAATCACTTTTATATCGATGCTAAAAAAGTACTTGATAAACCAATGATAATTGATTGATGACAATGATTGATAAACGTATGTTTTATTTCGCAATGACCCAATCTATCTTACAATATGTCATTACCGCCTGGAGCGGATTGGGAATAGTGGCACATAGCAAACTTCAAACAGCACAAAAAAGCGTTGTAAAAATAATTCTCAATAAATTCAAAAGTCACTCATAGAAGCTCTTTAAAGAAATGAATGTCTTCGACATTAAACGATCGTTTCACCGAAGTGCCTCATATCATACATTCAAGTTAAATATAATAGACTTTAAACAAATCTCGAATAGTACGCGCCAAAACCGTAAGTTAATTGTATCTACATTCAAAACATTACAATCCAGTAGATACTCCGCTAAAGTTGAGTAAATAACGTTCACTCATCATATGACACTGTAAATCATCAATATACAAAATACAAACTTCTGATCAATATACGGCTATTAAATTCATAGGACAAAACTCGATTTCCTTTGTTTTTGTTTTTTTTCGTATTCTCTTTGTATGCAATATACATTATTGTACAAATACCATAATACTACTTCCATACTTCTTTAGGTAATGTTTTCTATGCCATATTATATTATTCATTATATTTTATTTAGTTCTACTTCTTCGTTCTGCTCCGTTTTTCTTTTAAATCTTACGATCGTTGAATAATAAATAAATAATAAATTGATTTTGATAAGACACCGATTTTACTAACACGATATTATACCTCGGTGGTGAATTTGACCGAATACTTTTATATATAGTTGAATATTATTTTTGTTAATTATGCGTTATAGGTTGAGATTTTTCGATTCGGGTGTGCAGCGGAGCTCTATTCAAACACCATGAAGCGCTGTGCCCTTACAAAAATTGTGTTCCATCCATAGGCACAGCTAGAAGGTTCTAGGGGCTTTTTAACACTCCCGAGTTTAAAATTAGCACTCCTAAAAAAATCAATCAGTTTTTTAACAGTAACTACTAAATATCTTATCCGTATCATATTTCATAATTAATAAGCAGAACAAAATACAGGTTGTCCACGGAAAATGTACGTGTGTATGAAAAATAATGTTAAGATAGTTATGATAAATTTGTATATATGCAATACTGTAAATGAAATGTGTAGTTGAGACTATTGTTAGAGCCGTGTAAAGGGGATTTCGGGAGCATAGCCTACGTGGGTCTTTGATGTTTCTATAATTTTAGTGCCCTCCAAAGTTGGTAGTCTAGGTTCGCCTAGGACCTCCGCCGCTCTCCCGCCCGCCGAGAACTTCAACGCCAAAGTTTATCGTATCAAATATTCCGGACATTCAACAAGTGTAGGTTCCTATTTCGAAAACTCAGTCGGTATCGCCGACGCAAAGCCGTAGCTTGGAATTTTCTATGGGTGGGGGAGGGTCCAGTTTCATAGATAGGAATTTTATAGCGGATATCATTATACGAATTTACATTGAATTAAAATTCAAAATTGTGAGAGTGAAATGTTTTATTTTCATGATAACACTACGTCAATTTTTCTCGGCTTCTTAGCCAGTTCGTTCAATACTTCGTCGGGCGTGATATTTCGATATTACGATGTGTGGGTAATAACCTAATTGTACCAACCCATTGAGACGATTCTGTTTGACGAACAATTCAATAAATAAAATGAAATCAGAATTAATTGTTTGTACACACCTCTTTCATACCGTTTCAGCGCTAAGTTTTTATTATTTTTAAGCGAGAAAAGGATCTTTCCGGCGTCAGAGCGGAAACAGATAGGCTGCGCACTACAGGCACGTCGCGTAGACAGGCCACAACGGGCAGTTAGAGGTGTCGACAGGCTGATGTAGCAACGCCGTCGTACGCGTTATCAATTTCTCGTCTGGGCCGTCGACGGACGGCGATAAGGCATAATACGTATTTGTATCACGATGTAGTTGAAATTTAAATATTTACCGAAAAATAATTCTGTGCGAGCGTGTGACCGTGTATCAATGCTGTTTACTACGTATAAAAAAATATTTAATCGGTTAAAAAAAAAAAAAAAAAATGGTTTAAAAAATAAACATTTTAAATTTTAAAACATACTAAGACACGTTTACGTTTTTTTTCTAATTTGTTAAATGGGGCGCGGCAAAAGTGATAGAACCCCTAATACTCCCCCGCCCACCCCCCTCGTAGCCACGGCCCCGCGCCAACGGGTGTACGCACGGAATTATCGCCGTCGGCCGCACATTCGGAAATTCCCGAAAACGGAATTCGCGTACGCGCACACAACAACGCACAACAATTGTTTAACCCCCGAAAACGGGACGGGCGCGCTTAACGGGTCCGCCCGGCACGTTACGCGTTTCGCGTTATAACGCGTGGCCGCTGCACGCGGTTCGGCCGAGCGCGTTTTAGCGTCCGGCGGGCCGTTAACCGCGGGCTTGTTTTGATTCGTATGGCAGAGCACGTCTGTCAGTGGGGCAGCCCTGAAAAGGGCAGTTTTCGCCAACTAGACCGGGAGGTTTTGCAACGTTCGGCCGCCGGTCGAAACCGCAGACCGGGCGGACCGGGCGGACAGGCGGGCCGGCGGGCGGGCGTGCGGGCCGGGCATCGAGCGCGCGTTTTAACGGGAATCGAACGCGACGACGCCGGGCCGTTATGACATTGTACCCGCGTGCACTAAGCTTCCGATTCCGGCGTGGGTACTGCGCCGGGGCCGCGCGCGGGCCGGCCGCCCCGGTACGTTGTGCTCGACGACCGGTCCGGCCGCGGCGTCTCGAAATGCCGACGGTCGGCCGGGACGGCGTCGTAAAGCCGGCCGCGCGCCACGACGGATCGGCACGGAAACAAGGCCGCGCCACCGTTATCGGAACGATTCCGGTCGGCCGCGGAAACCGACGGTCGCCGTTCCGATTAGCCGTTTCGAAAACTGGCGGTACCGTGGCGGCGAACGGGAACAAAACGGTGATTGCGTTAGCACTCGCTGCCGCGGAAGAAGACGGGAAACAATTAATGTGCAACAAAAAAAAAAAAAAGACCGAGGGTTCGTGAAATCAATTGGAAAACAGCGACGAAAAGGGGAGTTCAGTACACTGCTAATTGTACATTTGAAAACGATAACCGGACGTTTTTCGAAACGAGTTATCGACGATTCCGTGAACTATTGATTATCCAATCAAGCCACGCGTACGAAAACAGGATCCAAAACGCTACGGAACGGTCGGGCATAATATTCCCGAAACGAAATCACGATTCGATCCGACGTATTGCGCGGCGCCAGCTCGGCCGGCGCGTTTATAATATTGTGCACGCGACACACCCGAACGTAAAACTGTCCATACCGGGTGATCCGCACGAGTGGATACACTCGTTGTACCGGAATGTATTAACTTTGTTCGGAATTCGTTTTCCAGAACATTTAAAAAAAAACAATTTAAAAACGGGAACCTACATTAAAAGTCCATAAACAAACGGAGTGTTAGTTAAAATACATTCGAGTGTTGGACACTTTCGATTGCCGTCAATCCGCCGGCGGGATATTCCGCTTATAAGTTTGGGGTGGAAGAGAGTGATGGCGCATTATGAACGGCGCCGCACGCCGTACCGCCGTATGAACGCATTTCAATTAATACTGCATCCATTTACGGATTTTTTAATACGGGTCGCCGTTTGAATACCAAAAGCACGGACGGCGATTTTACCCCCGGGAACGGGGGTGACGAAAAAAAAAAATATAAAAAATTGTAGCGCCGCGTGTCTCCGAACTGTTACAGAAAACAAATTCCGAACAAAGTTAATAACTATCCGAGGCGAACGAGTGAGCGCACCCATTCGAATGGATTGCCTGGCGTACGGTACGGGCACATTAATGTTGAAGGCTCTCGTTAACGGCGCGGATCCGCTGACGGGTTAGCCGAGCCCGGCCAACTCGTGGCCGCCGCGGAGACGGACAGCGAAAAACTTGAGAGTCTTTACACAACCGTAATGAAATTAGCCCGCGGGCCGCCTAGCGCACGACTCTCTACGTGAACTGCGCGCCGTGCCGCGCCGAACCACCCGTGCTGCGGATAGACACGCGCTCGTGTACACCTAATGGAAACAAATTGAAAACGGAAAAAAAAAAAAAAAAAAAAAGGAAAATAGAGAACGGGCGAAACAATTGCGAAACGAAAAACTGTGCCCCCTAACACACACCCCCCCTCCTCGCCAACCGCCCACTGTAACGCGTATAGAGCTGTTGACGACGCGGTGCGGCGGACGGTCGCGAGACGGTACAAAGTGGCGTCCGGCGCGCAGAGACGAGACTGAACTGGACCGAAGAACGTTCGTTTGAGATTCTGAGCGGAGCGAGGGTAATGTTGGTAGAACCCCGGGAGGACGGGGCCACGGCGCCGCCGATATTCAAAGGTCGGGTCGCGCGCGGCCGGCGATTTTCACGACGCAATCGTCGCGGAAAAAAATGGCGTTTGACCGCACGCGACGGGTATATAGTAAAGTTGATCTAACCCCCATCTCCGTCCCCCGCGCCGGTCGGCTAAATAGGAGGTCACTGGCGATCCGGGTCCTTATCACGAGTCTAATACGACGTTGAACAATAGCGCGTCGTCACGAAATCCGTTCGAGAACGTGCCGTGTTTTTTTGTTCCGTGTAAAACCCGTTGTTCGACACCATAATCGTCATGGGTATACAACGGTTTGCATGTTGATTCACCCGAACGACGTTGAAAGACGTTGAAGATTACAAAACCGGCAGCTTTTTACGAGGTTACTAGTAGTTCACCGCCGTCAATTTATTAATCCGGCTGACGGATCGAATCGGCCGATTTCCAAAGAGCCGAAAAGTCTGCGGGCCGACATGATTGTTAAGCCGACTCCGGCGCAAAGGCCGAACAGTTAACATAATCATAATTTCATTAACTAGGTATTCAATTACATATCGATAATTATAAACAAACAGAATATCGAATACTATGACCCGTGGAAAAGTCTCCACACATAACCACGCACCAGTTGGAAGCCGTTTGTTTTTTTTGTCGATTTTCCGGATATATGTATTTTATAACATTTTGTCTATTATTGTTCAATTATCACCTACCATTATCACATTTAATATTGTACATTGTACATAACGTACATTTTTCTGTAAACGTTGTAAATTAATCAAGGCTTACGCCATCAATTCGGACAATTGGACTCGGCTCTTTACTCTTTAGTATTCGGCCTGGTGGAATTCGGCCTAACGCGCCATGCACTTTAGTTAGTCTACACTTACATTAGTAAATAAATTACACCACTTTCGCGTATCAAAAGGGCTTGCCGCTATAGCCAATAAAAATAAAATAAACCGAGGTTTTCTTGTTCAAAAACGCTCGCACACGTGTCCTCTTAATAGCATTGGAAGAATAATAAAAAAAAAAAACCATTTGAATCCCACAGTTTCGTACTTTCTAAATTCCTAATAGTGGACAATAACCACAAGAATTAGACCAAAAAGAACTATAACTATTGTGCCGTTTAGTGATTTACTCTACTCCAATTTTATCATTCCTACGGCTGCCCCAAACTTCAGTACACAATACTATTATATTATATAAGATTTGTAAGACAAATATTTACTCATTCGCGTGAATCCAACATTAACGCGAATATAAATACACAGGCTGTCATACGAAGATATACCCCTTGAACATTTCCAGAGATAATATAGATAACCAGATTCTGTTTTTTTTTTTTTTATTATTTTACTCACGGGGAAGTGGACTGCAAAATATTTATAATTGAAGTTTTTTTTTTTTTTTATTATTTTCGAAAAAACGTTAAAATAGCCGAGCCATCCTGTAAAGATTATTTTTTTTGAACATTTTAATGTATCACACATTTATATCCCACGAATAGTTTTTAAGTAGCAGCCATTTTAAATTATACTAATCCGTGTGAACACCGATGTTATCTAGGGAACGACTTAACCGTGTGACGCGATAACATCGGTTTTCACGTGAATTAGAAGAATTTAAAATGGCTGTTCCCAATAAATGGAAAAAAAATGGAGGAAAAACGAGAAAATGGGTACAATATTAAACAAATATTTTTAAAGAAAATCTAGAACGCATATGCAATTATTTTATCAAAGTGTGACATATTATTTTGTTGACAAAGTAATATTGTTAACCGAACTCCGCTCAAAATCGATTTTTGCAATGGTTAATCGTTGCGTACAGTTACACATTTAATTTCCCGTCTACCATCTCAACTTCTCACGTAGAAAAATGGCCCACCCGCGCGCAAAGTATGTCCGTCTTTTTTTCGTTGCGAATCCTCAAACCGACAGCGTTCAAACGAATGAGGCGAGGAGGATACGTCTCCTCATAACCTTTGGTATTTCCAACATTTATAACAATACGTATTGTGTTACGAACATATAATTTTTAATAGCAATCATTGTTACAAAACAACGAAAAGAACATTTCACCTCCACCGACACACAATCGTTGGAGTATTTTTTTTTTTTTTTTAATATCCATAACGTATTCTGATTAGTAGGTAGGTGTAACACTATGTAACGTGAGTCTCGCGATCCATTCGTATGCGTGCAATTGTGAAAGTACATTGATTATTAACCATGTATTCTACTTTTGAAACAAACAAACAATGCTTATTTGTTCAAAAACCATCATGTTTACAATTTACCTCGAGATAAACTATCTACAGATCTACGTAGATCCGCGTAACATTGCGAACGTTCTAGAAGATCCCGTTTAACCGTATAAAACCGTCAACTACTTCGAACTTTAAAAGCTTAAGCATAGCTCTGATAAAATTGCCTTTACGAATACGCCCGTGTCAAAATGTTGTTTAAATCCAATTTCCTACCCACACACACATATATTAATTTTTTTTTTTTTGCGCAGATGTATACAGGTACAGTTTCATCAGACTTTTTTCCGTTTTCAAGACCATTCGCGTGCACTCCAACACACTGCAAGTGTCTCAATGAACAGATAATAATTTGACATTTTCAAAGTATTATTTTTATTTTTTTTTTTTTCAAACATATTTTAGTAACCGACTTCACGGCGTAGGACAGCGACGGTGTGAACATTTCAAATTCGTCAAACGTATAACGATTTAGATAGTTGTTTACTATTCTATACGTCAATTTATATTCTGATCGCAGTCCGGAACATATTGGTTTTACTGTGACAAGTGTGATTTTTTCAAATTTATTTTTACCAGAAATTTTGCTGCATTCTTTAACTGTAGTATTTTTTCTAAAATCAAATTTCGTCTAGTTGATGTGTTACAAATATTTTCATTTCATCTTGTAGTTTTGACGGGATTTCCACATACGATTGCCCAAACATCGCTCAGAATCGTTTTTCGTTAGCAATATTCCATATAGGTATAAATTAAATAGCTTTAGCTGCATCCGAATCGGGTCCCGGATCCAAGTGGTTTTGATGGGCAGCACACTACCCATCAAAACCATTGAGTACTAATTGGATCCAAATAAATTCTGGGTACTGTGCTAGTCGGTGCATACGATTCGCCTCCCGAAATGTACGAAGTGCCTTTTATCCTTACCGTAATTAAAAAGATAAATATACACTAGTTGCCTCCGACGATTAGGCAGTTGATAATTATATACGAGTTGCCTCCCGAAAATGATCGCACTGGTTGCCTCCCATATTGAATAAAGCAGTGGTTCATAAACTAAACTAAGTTCAACACATAATAATTATGATTTTATAAAAAATAATAATATAGTTTGTCTATAAAAAAAAACATGTACATGGTCAGTACCTGTTCATATAATTTCTATTATGGTTCAATTTATTTTCGTTCAATATTACTTAATCACTGTCGACTACTTTTAAAAAGCCTTACATATTTTTTTCGTGTAATTTTACCGTTCTTTTTTGTAAACTAACTTTTTTTTAAAACTTAATTTTAAACTATTAATTATTTAAACACGTTTACTCTTTACACTGATCATATAAAAACTGGTTTTATGTACATATAACTTGATTTATATTTATATTTAATTTTTTTTT